TCCAGGGACTCCAGGATCATGACCTGAGCCGAAGGCAGTCGCCCAACCAACTGAGCCACCCAGGCGCCCTCTAGTTTTCTTTTCCAATGATGTTATTAGAATATACTTGCCTCATAAGATGAGTTGGGGAGTGTTCCCTCTTCTCTTTTGGAAGAGTTTGCAAAGGTTTGGTGTTGATTCTTCTTCATATGTTTGGTAGAATTTACCAGTGAAGTCATTTAGGCCTCGACTTTTCTTTGTGGGAAGTTTTTTGATTACTAATTCAAGGTCTTCTGTTATACTTCTATTCAGATTCTTCTTGAATTATTTCTGTATTTTGTCTTTCTAGGAATGTGTCCATTTCATCTATATCATCTAATTTCTTGGCATACAAGCATTCACAGTATTCCCTTATAATCCTTTTAATTTCTGTAAGGTCAGCAGTGATGTCCCTTATTTCATTCCTGATTTTAATCACTGGAGTCTTTTTTTTTTCTTTATCGGTTTAGCTAAAGTTTTGTCAATTTTATTTAACTTTTCAAAGAACCAAGGTTTAGTTTCATTGGTTTTCTCTATTGGTTTCTATATAACAATTGACTCTGGCAAACACAAATGAAAATGTACATTCTGAAAACAACATTAAATTTGCATCATGTTGAAGTTGGTAAAGAGTGTTTTTCAATGCTTTTTAAAATAATTTTTTACCAAAAAATGTATCACGACTGTCTTATAGAAGGGTAATGTGCCTACAGAGATTTGGAGTAAATTTCAGATTCATCCCACCTTCTTCCTCAACACCCAAAGCCCATGAGAAAATCCAGCCAATGCCTGTGTTCTGTGACATGCCCATCTGTGGGTGACAAACCGAGGCATCTGTCTCTAGGTTTACCTGATTGGTTGAACATCTTGACGCTGTTTTTAGAGAAGACTAATGCATGTCCTATCCAGAGCCTGGGGGTAGAACGTGAACCCGGTTTGCTTAGGAAGAGCCTTTGAATGTTCTAGCTCCAGCCTCTTAAGAGTACACACCAAGCACAACATAAACATTATTTTAAACCACCACAGAAATATGGCTAAATTGGAAAAAAGGAAATCAGACATTTTGTTTTAGCAAAGTATAATATACTCACCGTTCATTATCCAAGGCATATCAAAGATCACCATTTTTGCTGAAAGAGAAAAAAATTCATTCAATGTGACTTAGTACCACTATAGTACTATCACTTATACCTGGTCTAGAAAAAGCTGGCCATCTAAACCTAACTAAAAACTGAGCTAGCTGACTCTGTTCTAATCCAGTGAAGTGTGAGTGGTGCTTGAACCAAATTAACTTCTCACACTGACGAGGGGCCCACCCCCCAGGGCAGCTTTTTGGAAATGACCACCGCATTATCACTGTCCTTTGGCAAATAGCCTGTTCTTTTGTTCATTTATTGCTTTTGCTGTTTGCAGAAAGGTACAAAAGAAAATAGTTAAATGGGTAAGTGGAATCTTTGGATGTGGCATGTCATATTAGTGTTAAAAGTCCAGTGAACTTTAAAATGATTTCAATGTCTATGTTAATTAATTGAATTTAAATAAAAAAATGATTTCAATGTGTAATTTATTGGTTTTGCTAAGTTTCTAGAGATTATATTGTTAAACCACTCGCACATTTTCCCTTTACCCTAACTTTAATACATCATTACGTTTTAAGAAACAGAATTTATACTTTTCTTCATATTATAAGCCCCAGCAAGCCAGTAATTCCCAAGTATACAGAAGTATTATTTGCATATTTAGATGAAGACTTGAATAGCCCTATTAACAATTATAAGAAAGAACCAGAAATCACAAAGGGAAGTTTTGATATCCAATTCATTGTTCTATTACAAATGAATCAAAATATAATTTCATTCTTCTCTGAGCAGAGAACATCCTAGAATGATTATATTAATGTAGGACAAGTAAAGTTCATGTGAGAAACAAGGTATCTCACAGAGGTAGCCTGGTGCTTAATACCTCAATTTTCATCTGTGATATGCCTAAAAAGATGTGGACTTAAGGTTTTACGAAATAATGGTTGTGTTTCATGACAAATTTTGAAGCATAATCAGATTTTACAAAATTTAATGTCTGCAAAACTACATTATGTAGGCAGAATATATACACATTACCTCTAGTTAATCGGAATGAATAGTATTCCAATTCATAGTTTATCTAGAACCATGAATTTATTAAGAGTTCTCTCAAAAGAATCTTAGATATGTTTTATAAGGTAATAATGATATTTATACTATTTATAAATGGCTCTTCACAAACTTTTAGATATTTCAATAAACAAGTGGATATTTTATTTTCATTTTATACATAAGAGGAACAACCTAATCATATGGGGTCGAGATTCCCTATTGACCATTTGATTGGTATTATAAAACTTAATGAATCAGGGTACATGGTGGATCCAGGAAGAATTCAGAAGGAATAGCAGATCCTCCAGGTTTCCCAACCAGACATTCTCTTTACCTAAAAAGTTTCATGAATACTCCCTCTGAAGACATGAGAGCATGGGCTAGCAGTGGCACTGATCCTTGAGACTGATCATGCTTGCTGTCTGTTCCTTACTTCACATGAATAATAACGTGAAAGCATGCCAAAGTTAAGAAGATTTAGGGATTTTAAGCTTTAATATCACCTAAGTCAGAAGTCTCAAAAGACCCTAATTGTGGTATTTGCCAGGCTGTGCCCAGGCAGATCTGTGAGTTTCCATTTTCTGATACCCCTGTTGTCTCTCTTCTGCTTTTTTCACTTTTAGTCCACTGGAGCTAAAAATATATGGCTGTTTATGTGGGACAACATCTTGATTTCTCCAGAGTTTGGAAAACATCATATAAATCTAATAAATCAAAAATGAATACATAAGATTTAGGAGTTCTTCATTCTGGTAATTAATGCAAGAATCACAATTAAAAATAAACTCTAAATGCCAGATTTAAATGCAGTGTACGCTAGTCTAATTTTTTTTTAAAGATTTTATTTATTTGAAAGAGAGAGAGCGAGCGTGCGCAAGAGCACACAAGCAGGGGGTAGGGACAGAGGGAGAGGGAGAAGCAGACTCCCCGCTGAGCAGGGAGCCTGATGTGGGGCTCGATCCCAGGATCCTGGGATCATGACCTGAGCCGAAGGCAGACGCTTAACCGACTGAGCCACCCAGGTGCCCAAGTCTAATGTTTTCTTAATGACAATTTTAAAATGAACGATTAGTAACACAGTACATTTTATGTATGAGTACTGCTTATCACACAGTATACTTTATCAATACTGCTTATGTGTTTCTTATATGTAAGAAGTTCCATATAATAAATATTATTTTAAATGAGCTTTTTATTGAAAGATGACTAAAAATGGGATAATCTTCACAATAAAGGTATGTTTTTATGTACCTATATATGTATGTGTGTTATAGGATGCCATCTATACAGTTTAGAACTTAAATTCTTAAAACTATAAAGGACAATTATGAAAATTTTCCCTTATATCTACTAGGATATGCACTTAAACTTCTATGCACACATTTAAGCTCCTCATCAGAAAATAACACTTCAGGTATTAAAGTCTATAGTAATTTAAAGCAATCTGAGCCATTGTTTATAGTTTCTATATTTTGTATTTTTATAAAAGAGTAAGTTACTTACAGAGGTATTTAGGATAATAAACCTTAAAGCAGTTGATGATAAAGCGTACAAAGTCCATGTCCTAAAACAAAGATTACACATTTAAATCTTTAAGACTATCCACGTTAGAGAATTTTAAATTGCACATTTCTAAAGGTGATACAACTATTAAATAACATAAAATGATAATTAAAAAAATCTTACTGAACTGGTACCCCTTGGAATAGGGGAATAACAATTAAAATATGGTTCTTGGGAAAAAAATACAAATGAGACAATTCTTTAAAAAATAAGCTCATATATAAATATGTATCTATATTTCCAGGGATTAAGGTTTTAAGTCATTAAGCTACTTATAATAATCAGCCCTAAAATCAAGTAAAAGAAATCAGATGCTTAAACATCATTCCTGTTACCTCAAACTAGTGAGATACTTCAGGCTGCTAAAGTAACATGGCATTATAAAGTGGATCTAAAAGCAATGCCTATAGAGAAATTCTAAAAATCTGTTGAACAATTAAGGAATTATTTAAAACAAGTGTACAGTTTACAATCTCACTACTTGGAATGATATTACATATATCTATTCTGGTATATTTGCTTTTTAAACCTAATTTTTAAACCTTGTAATAGTTTCAATAAAATACGTTTTATCAATCTTTTACACAACAGCTAATCCGAACATATTGGTGTTCTGTATCTACTTCGCCTCTAGCTTCTTTCCTCTTATTTAGGGACCTCGAATTAGAATTAGAATTTTTTAGTTTATATTCGAGTGTTGTTCATTGACTCCAATTCCTGGGAAACTTTATGAACATAACTGTCTGTTGGTTCTACTGCACTGAACACAGCAACATGAAATTAGGTTATGAGGGTCACTATTCACATGGATCATTTCATTCCATGTTATTCCATGGCCGTAGGCCAACTTACTAATCCTGATCAGGCATCTTATAAGGACTGTAGGATGAAAGATAATCAGGCAAACTTAAATCCATCAATTACTGAAAGGTGAGTTGTCCAGAGATGAATCTATAAAGTCATTTCTAGGATGTGAGTTGCAGCATCCTTAATTTCAGTAAACTGAAAGCAAGCATCCTTAAGTGTGTTAAGTATTTTTTATGGAATAAATCCTAGTATATAATAGTACCTTTATAACTAATCATTATATCCACTGTGTACCGAGTTTAATAATTTGTATTTAAGAGTCAAAGAAATATCTCAAAATAACTAGTTCTATAAAAATTTGGTTACCTATATGATTTGTGGCCCCCAGAGACTTTGCCCAAAAAGTCTTCATCCAATATTCTTGTTTTCGTCTTTTAACTGGATAGCCTTGCTTATAAAATCCCAAGTTACTGCTAATTCAAGTGGATCTGACAGGATACCACTGGTGTTAAGTATATTAGTGGGTACTACATTAAAAAGTTCCATGAAACCTATTGCTCTGCCTTCTGTGAGGATGTCTTCAAGGACTATTTATTACCTTGTAAAATGTCCTCCCTTTGGGGACCCATGAAATACTTTTCTCTCTAGTTCAAGTATCAGTAATGAATATACTTCTCCTAAGACACTGGTTTTAAAGTACGGCCACTGAAATAATTTTAAGTGATTCCATTTCTTTCAGACAGGCAGATGAAAGACTGGACTCCAATCAGTGGCCCAACTCTAACAAATAGCTTTTAATTTTTTTTGCCTTGCAATTCTGCATACTGTTCATAAGCCAACTTAAATCCTTTGTGAATCACGAGGGAGTCATATATAAAAGTAACTCAATTAGGATTCAGTATTTTAAAACATTAATACTGATTTAAATACTTAGTAATGCAAATAAACCTTATTTAAAGAGACAGCATATAAGTAGTTTGAAAAAAAATCAGTTCAAGTCAATTCCTTGCCCCTATGTTTGGCAATAAAAAACATTAGCACTTGTTTATGATTCTGGGTTAATAATTAGAAACTGTCATATACAGAGGATGACAGAATCATGATTTATTTTTATGGAATACCTATTTATCTAGGTATTTTGATTTAGACTTTGGTTATAAAACAATTTACTCTGTAATCTACAACTCACTGAAATGGAAACTAGATTGAAAAAATCCAGGGCAATGGACTCTTAAAATATGCATAGAGATAAAGATGAAAATAAAAATGTGTGATCCCACCACCCAAAAAATCCCCTTGTTCTCTCTAGGCTGTTTTTTGTTTGTTTTTTTTTGATGTCTAAGAGTTCCTTTTTTGGAGGCTAGGTATCACTAGGACATAATCCTGTAGCCTTTTTTATCATTCATTTTTAAAAAAGGTATTTTCCACTATTACTACACTTATTTATAAACACCATTTTATATAGCTACATACACTCTATCAATTAATACACCATAATTTACCATTTGCCCATGCTGACATTTACATTTTTTTCTGTTTTCACTATTTTATTTTTTTAAAAATTTTTTCTAAGTTTTCACTATTTTAAATGACACTCTGAAAAAAAAAACACTTGGCACACAATGCTTTTTTCTGTACTCAGGATTATTTCTTTAAAATACATTTCCAGAACTTAGTTACCAGGCAAAGAATACGAATACGAACACCTTAAGATTCTTAACATACTTTGCCGAGCGGACTTGCAAAAACGTTTCACTACTGCCCCAGGCAGGTGTGTGAAGGCTGCTTCACTGCGACCAGAAGTAGCTAAGGCTCGAATGTGAGAGACAAGAGCTATAATCAGTGTGCCAAAGGATCCCCATCGCTGCTGAAGGGTCTGTAGTTACCAAGGTCACAAGGGCCCAAGTTAAAGACTGGTGGGTTTTACTTATTTTTTAAGCTTGACAAAAATCACCTGAAGAAAGCTGGTTTCCAAAGCTGACCAAATCAAGCAAACAAAAACCCCCAACAGAATGACAAAGTGCCATATGTGCAAAAGTCAGGTGAACATCTCACAACTGCCAAACATGGTATGAACCTAACAGTACCGCAGAGAGCGTGCATTCCTTTCCCCAGTACTTCCTGAGTGCATTTCTCTGTGCCAGGCACGGGGCTAGGTGCTGCGGGATATTAGTACTGACAGAAGACTTCCGTATCACCACAGCTACTCGTTACCCTGCCAGCTTCCACGTCGCACCCTGACACCTTGTGTATCACATGAGGAGCATTTCTAGGAAACTCACAGTTTCCGTGCCAAATACTGAAGCACATTTCTTTCTTTGCAAAACTTACTTCATGTCTGACTTGACTCACAATACACAAGGAAAACAAATAAATCCCAAACAGAACTTGGTCAGCTCAAACATACAGCAGTATTTGGCTGGGAGGAGTGGCGGGGAGGACATGACAATAAATAATGCTTGCGAATTAAAGAAATGCTTACTATGCTATTTATTCCAGTTTCTGACAGGTCAAACATCACTGTTACGGGTTTCCCATTTTCTCTTTTAGCGTAACGTTCCAACCAGAATGCGATAAGCTTCTTTTTGTCCAACATGGTTTTATGGTCTTTTACGTGATACTTCACCCTGATCCAGACTTTTAACAGAACAGAGGATAAAAATAAGAAAAGTACCTGTCATTAGAATGTTATTTTACACACAGATCATTCCTTTCCCTTAACATTTTCTTCATTTGCATTTCATTTTCCTTCTCAGATTAAAAACATCTCTTTCCTCTTTTAAATAAGAAACACTGTGCATTTGGGAACTTCGAGAGGAGCAGAAAGGGGAACTCTTTTCCCCCTTGGAAAATAAACTTCTCTAGTAAGAGGGAAAAGAAAATACAGGTGAACAAACAATATCTGGTAATGACCTGAAAGTACTCTTCACTGTGCTTGACAAGAAAGCAAGCCAGTGGTGGTGGGAAGCACTAGAACAAACATCGCGAGCGGAGAAGCAGCCTGGACAGAGGCACGAGGGCGGCCCGAGTCGGGGCGGGAGCGCGCGCGTGGACAGAGCGCCACGAACCGCTCGGAGCAGGGCAGCTAGGCCAAAATGCGGCCAGTGCTGAGAGGAGACGCTCAAGAGACAAGGGCTGGGCTGGAAGGGCTCCAAGTCAAATGCTAAGGTGTGCTTTTCCTACTTAAGACATCCCGTGGAGGCAGCAGCGCGGAGGGGAGAATGGAAGAGGCAGAGAAAGAAACCCAACAGGCTGTGCCCTGGGAAGGCAGTTAGGGTTGGGACTGAGGAAGTGATGACGGAAACGGGGAAGGGGCTCCGCTGAAGCTGTGGCGGGGGGTGGGGGGGCGGACAGAGGCTGTGGGCCCGAGTTGGGTGGTGCTGGGTGGTGCGGAAGGAGGGCAGGCAGTGGGATGCGATCCAGTAGCGCTTTTGTGTTGAAGGTGGCCAGCAATCAGTCCAGTGGCACCAGTCAAGTGGGTAGCTGGGTAGCTATGTGCACGTCCCCTGGGGACCATGTGGGTCATCACTGTTTGTGGGGAGGCAAGGTCCTTGAGATCACCCAAGGGGACTGTATCAGCTGGAAAGTAAAAGCAGCGAAGAAAGGAATGAAGCCTGGGAAGCGCATGTAAGGGACCAGGAATGAGAGCAAAGAGAACAAAGAGAAACGAAGACTGGGAAAGAGAGCCGGCACAGGAGGGAAATGCTAGGAGAACAGTGTTAAAACAGGAATGGACCACATGCTGCAGAGGGAGCGGGCAAGCAAGCGCTCGGGATGGGGCTCTGACACTCCTGCCCAGTCACAGCTCTGGTACAAACCAAGCTGGATTTTGGACAAAGGGGCGAGAGGAATAATAAGGGAGGCATCAGGATGGTAGGGATGGTTGTTACTGGTCCTCCTGCTATCACAGATTTCACAAGAAGCTAAGGGGAGAAGACTGGTGGGGGGTGGGGGGACACGGGCATGACAGGGACAGACGTCAAACTTGAAAAGTCCATTTAGCAACCCTTAGCGACTGTCGAAAAGATTTTCCATGAAAATACTGGGTTGAATTTTAGCATCAGTAAATTAGAAAGAAGATAATGACTCTGCATTACATTATTTTGGCTGTGTTACAGGATGTGGCATTTGCCTTTACCACCTACTTTATCATAATGCAAACAGTACATACAACTAAGTGTTTGACACTGTCAAGATGGCCCTAATGGTCCTAACTGTAGGAAACTTGATGTGTGGTACATATGGAGAAGGTTCTGCCTATTATTAATTCAGTTGAGATAAACGCATCTCAAAATCTTGAAAAGCCAGTACATCAATTAAAATATACTTACACAACTTGTTGCCTTCTTTGTCATAACCGTGGAGATAAATACTACCAATTTCCAATAACCATCTGGGAATGGAGGATTCAGTCAGGTCTAAAAAAGGATAAACCTGATGAGTAATTGTAACTTAGGGGCCTTTTAAAAAGAAAACTTACAATGTAAATGCTAATGTTATATAGTAGATCTGATATAAAAAAAGATAAGCTTATTCAAGTATCTGGAAAGAACCTCTGGCAATAAAAAAATGGTGTTTCTTACTAAGTAAACAAACTACATAAAGACATGGATGAGAGAAATGGGAAAAAAAATCCATTTCCCTTGACACACTGGCCATTATTATGTGGACACATTTCCATTTTTGGTTGTGCTTCACATAATAATTTTCAACAAATACTATCACGATTGGACAATTTCAAGATAACATGCTAGTAAATATCCACATTACAGCCTCAGGACTGATTTAAAAATCACTTATGGTTTCTCTAGTAAAATATTTTTCTACAAAGATTCATATCTAGTAGAGTCTAACACATTTTATAATCTTGCGGCAAATGGAAAATACTTGGAAAAAAAAAAAGCTAGATCCGTTAGCAGGAGGAACAAAACAAGGTCTGTCCAGTCTCTAGTGAGAACACAGCAAGGCAGTAAATGCCAAGGCTTTTGTTTCATTCACCAGTAGTTCCCTGAGAACTTTCAAAGATTCTTTACCTTTCTGCACTACCCTTTTACCATATCTCCGCCATGTGTCACTGGAAACTAGCAATTCCATATAAGAAAATACTACTGTTTAGCTTAAAAGTTCATTCTGTACTTAAATGATTTGCATTTCTTTGCTTGATTAATAAATGCTTCACTGTTTGTTGACATGATCTATGGTTTTTACATTTCCAATCAAATTATTTCTTAAATACTCCCCTTCTCATGGATTTTTTTCTACAAGTATGAAGACTGGGGAGAGTATCTGCTCTGGATTTATTTGTTGACTTTTTTGTCTTAAGTCTCCAGACTCACTCACTCCAGAGTCTGTAATCCTCAAGGTCAAGAAATCCTTCTATGTACCTCATCAAAACCAGCAGTTATGCCAGATTCCTCCTGTTAAATTTTACAAGAGAGATAATGTGTAACCTTTCCTGTCAAGGGTTCTTCATATACTTGAAGACTGTTAAAAAAAACCAACCAAACAAAAAACCCTTCCAAGATTTAAAACTCCCATTGTGGGGGAAAATGTCAATCTAGAATTGGGTCTTCAAATCAAGAAGTTAAGCAAAGGCTGCCATAGGCATCCTTGGGGATAAGCCTGCTTTTTTAGGGGCCCCCAGTTATTTAGCAATGCTACAGGGGGTACCTATTAGCACAAGGAACTCTGAGGATAGAAAAAGATATAAGGCAACAACTGAAAAACAAAACAAAACAGGAAAACAGTATCTCCTCCGTACCTCTAGGCCTTGTAGTGACGATGCTGTCTTGCTATTGTTCAATGGTACTGAACTAAACAAGCACAGATTAAGAGACTCTGCTCTGAGTCCAAGAATCTGAATGTAATTCTGCTCCTTGGTGATCTGATCTCCCTATGAACAATACTACTTTTAAGACATTCGTAAGATGCTTTCAAAGTGTTAGTGCGTTTTTATAAAACATTGTATTTTGGTGTTTATGATGATTACCAAGAATATTTGCAAATACACTATTTGATAAATGTAAAACTAACATTTATGCAGGGGACAGTATACTGTCAAGGTTAAATTGAACGTCTTACCGTTGACACACATTTCTTTCCTCCACTGAAAACTTTCATCAAGCATCTTCAGTGTTTCATCAACAATACTATGTCTCCAAAGTAAGTAACTTTCAACCCAGTTATCATCCTGTTGTAGCCTTTCAACATCACGTGGATCATATTTATCTGGCTTATCTGGGGGAAAACAGTAATAAATAGCCAAGTCAGATACATTCTGCAGTGAGTAATAACACTAATGCCAGGAGAAAAAAGATAGGCAAGACAAAGCTAAGCTACAGAAGATAGCCACTTGAAGGATGCAGTTCAGATGAAAATGCAATGTAAAGGATTGATGGAATTTCTGAGAGGAGAATAACGTTATCGAAAGATGGCAAGCTTACTTTAAAGATTTATTTATTTGTGTGTGTGTGTGTGTGTGTGTGAGAGAGCGAGCGAGCGAGCGAGAGAGAGCGCACACACAAGCAGGGGGAGCGGCAGGCAGGCAGAGGGAAAGGGAGAGGGAGAAGCAGGCTCTCCGCTGAGCAGGGAGCCCAATGTGGGGCTTGATCCCAGGACACTGGGATCATGACCCGAGCCGAAGGCAGATGCTTAACCGACTGAGCCACCCAGGCGTCCCGGCAAGCTTATTTTAAATAAGCCATAGTAGAATTAAAAAATAAGACCACAGTAAAATGTTTTTTTAAAAGATTGTTATTTATTCATTTGAGAGAGAGAGACAGAGACAGAAAGAGCAGGAGCAGGGGGAGGAGCAAAGGGAGAGAGAGAAGCAGACTCCCTGCTGAGCGAGGAGTCCTACCACGTGGGGCTTGATCCCAGGACCTGGAGAGATCATGACCTGAGCCAAAGGCAGACGTTTAACCATCTGAGCCAGCCGGCTGTCCCAAGACCACAGTAAGATATTTTGTATGACCCTCTCTAAAACTATAAACCAATATCTAGGAAGATTATGTTGCCTGAACTTGAAATCCTTACCCTGGTCAATGAAAAAAAATGAAGTTTTATACGTAAAGAATGAAGTTGTACTTAAGACGACATCTGTTTGGCAATATCATTTCTTTTAAAGATTCATTTATTTTAGCGGGGAGAGGCAGAGAGAGTCTTAAGCAGACTCTGCGCTGAGTGCAGAGCCCGACGCGGGGCTTGATCTCACGACCCTGAGATCACGACATGAGCTAAAACCAAGAGGCGGATGCTCAACTGACTGCGCCACCTAGGTGCCCCTGGTGATGTCATTTTAAAAAATGAAATACAAAATGGAAAACTGACCATGTGTGTAGCAGTCAACATTTCCCATAATTTACTGGAATAACCGTTTCCAATAATTTCTTATTATCTGCTTACGCACAAGCTATGGTACTTGATATTCCTCCTTCCACATCTTGCTTTATTTTTCTGTAACTGAACTTGGTCTGCTCACAACCACCTCTGCACATCCAGATTCTACCATTCTGCAAGACTCCTTTCAAATGTTTCCTCTTCCACAAATTTCCCTGAGCCCAGAAGGAATTCCTTCCCTCCTGTGAACAGGTACAGGACTTAAACCAAGCCTTTCTTAAGGCACTTAGCATGTTTTCCCTTTAATCAGTTACGGCACGTAACTTGCCATATAGAGACTGTGTGTGAGAGCAGAGCCTATATATTTTAGGACTCCTTCAAAGCAGGTTATACTAGTGCCAACGAAAAGGCCTTCAGGAGACCTCAATCTATTCCTTCTCTATTTTTATTTTCTCAGTTAATGGTACCCTCCCAGGGGTCCAAGTGGGAACTTCAGAAAATTCCCTGGCTCCTTCATCTCCATTTTTTTTTTTTTTTTGCACCTAGTTAGATGCCAAGTTTTACAGATTCTATCTCCTCTCTATTTACTCTGCCTTATTTCAAGCCATCAGAAATAATAGCCAAAAGGGATGGAAAATATAAAGTACAAAGATTCTTCATTGAGTCTCAATTTCCTTATCTTTAAGCTGCTTTAGATAATGACAGGGTTGTGTGAAGATCAGATGAAAACGTATATATGAAAGTACTTGGAAGTTTAAAGTGCTATAAAATATAAGATTAGTCCATGAATCATGCATTTGTACAGGGTTACCTTGGATATCTGGGCTCTATTTTGCTAATCTATATGATGACTGATTCTACAGTAGGTAAACCCTGGAAAATGTTTTTTGGCTCTGTTACTCAAAAATTCATCAGTATTCAAAGTCCAACTTTAATTTATAAACATGAGTCGGATATAAAAAAGTTGACACTGTTGCGCATCAGGAGGGCCCCTGTGAACACCTCTCCCCTGAAGAAGCACCCTCCAGTCTGGCCACTGCACAGCCCCCACCACTCCACCAGTAATACACTGTTGTCCTTGAAATTACAGGCTGGCTTCTTCATTTTCAAGAACATTTCTGCCAAATGCTCAAGTCTGAATAACCACAGTTGCCTCGCCACGAAAAATGTGACTAATCCAGCTGGCAACTCAAACATGCAGAAGTGTTTCGTGTGTACTGCCCAATTCAGTCACACAGAACATTAAAAGGACATGTAATAAAGGGTCAAGGTTTAATAAAATGTACTGCTTCATCAGGGGCTTTCTAAAATAAAATTGGCTTCTTCTGCTTTTTTTTTTTTTTAACTGAGAGTGCCCACAAGGAAGACTACAATGACCACTACCCTTGATCTGGGCTGACGAGCCAGCAGTTTTACCCATGGCTTCTGTGTAATCAGCTCAAATAGCAATATGATAAAAAAGGCAAATGGCTTCTTAGCATTATTATGAAAATCGTTTTGACCTCACAGGCTCCTGCAGAGTCTTGGGCATCCCCCAGGGTCCAAAGACTAAACTCAGCACCACTTACCTGGAACAATATATGGCAAGTGGTAAAAACTCAATAAACATTAGCCATAGGAGAAGAAGAAACCATGACTGTTGTTACTATCATTGTAACCACTGCTGGTATTCCCACTAGGGATACCATAAAAGAGACAGCACCTGTTACTATGAAATGTAAAACAAACTGCTTTTGGATAGATTTAGGGATGGAGGTCTTTGAAATTAAAATCTCCATTTATAATAAAATGACTAATTACTGTTATTGTCAGGATGTGTGCTTATATATGAAATGCCTGTTGAACATTTACCCCTATACAGCTAGGGAAAGAGAGAGCAGGAAAAGACAGAGGAGAGGATTGGGAGGAGGTCCTATATGGTGGTGGGGAGGGAGGGAGGCAGGAAGAAAGTCGGGGCAGAAGAGGACAGAGAGGAGGGCTGAGGGGAGGAGAAGGAGGAGGAGAAACACACACACACACACACACACACACAGGGAAAAAGAGTCAACTGAACATTCAAGGTAAGGAAAGCTTGGCCAAGTGCAATAAGGGTGCTTATGACAACACAATTTGCTGCTTTCAAGCACTGCCCCCAGACAACTGAACCCTCAAGTGTGAGGTGGTTTTCAGAAAACCGGTCCTCTGGTAAATCCAGATGTTATACAGGAATAAACTAAAGAGGTATACTCAAAAGGTAACTAAAGCTACCAAACACACATTTGTGCACATACACCTCTGCCCCTCCCACCTACTCACGACATCATTTTGAAAGACTTTACCTCTCAATAATTAAAGTATAAAAACGAGAAAGAGATTAGTTGTATACACAGACATGTATGTATATGTCTATATTCTCGTAATACCTTATCCTTACTACTTTCATCTTGCTGCAAACCAGTGAAAACTTCATTGCAAACCAACATTAATATCAAGTTATGGGTTTTTAAGCCTCAACTTTGCAGTTCTTCCAAACAGCTCAAAGCTCGTTTTGGCCACTCCTTTGTAAGAAACCTTAATGGTTCACCCATGGTCCACTGTATTTTTCCACTATTTATTTCTTCTTATACAAATTTTGCTGTGTCGATTGGTCCTGTACTTATACAGTGTTTCACCATCAGACACATACTCAAGTTCAGAATTTGGCAGAGAAAGAACTAAAGATAAATGGCAAGGGAGATTGAGCTCTCACACAGTACTAAATGTTTCAGAGTAAAGATGACTTCTTTCTCTCAGCTTTTCATCTCTTTCTCTTCTGTGTGTACGTACACACACACACACACACACCCTCACTCACACTTCATACTGTCTCTCACGTATACATTCCAAAAAAATTTTTAAGTTTTGCAGGATACAGTTTTTACTTGTAAAATGGTGAATTTCATTATTAACTTTTCTTTTTCTCCCTCGTACTCGTTGGCTGGTGAAATTACCAACAGGTCAGAACCGTATTTTAAAGGTAACGAATATGAAAAAAAGGTCTAGCCAGATTCAGGATATGGGACAGAGTGATGGAATCAGAAGACCCATGCTACTATGTATAGGGACTGAGCAAGTCACTGATTTTCTTCTCTGTAAAATGGAGATAAGGTCTGCCTACCCACAGTCTTATGAAGATCAAGAACACTCTGAAAATTTTAAATACTATATAAATGAATTTTCATTAACCTAAGGTAGAATGCTATCCATGAATATAAGATTAAATTCTAACTGGCCCATTAATCAGTTGAGAAAATCTTAGAAGTAAACTGTAGTTATTACAAATGTGCCTAAAATTCAGATAAAGGTTGGAAAAAATACAGAAGTATTCTGATAATGAAAACTAGAGAAAAATTCTTAACTAGACAACATAATGACGTTCAAAAGCGGCAAATATACAACTGTCAAACATTATAGTAATTTAAAACCTCCTAAACCCTCTTATTTCTCCAGGACTTTGAGCACTGATCCACTTAAAGTCCTGGCAGGGCCCCGGAAGAGCATCTGTACTGTCCGGACCATTTCTATTGGCTGGAATGTGTTACTGTCAACAGTGGGAGTGATCAGGGTAAAATAACAAAATATTCCCTTAAGGACATCCTTAAGGGAATTTTAGTAGGTTACAACCTACCCTAAATCTCCCCTTTCCTGTGACGTCATCTGGTGAAAGACTGAGAGGCAGGTGCTCTTTTAAGATGGGATTAAGCCACAAAAAAAAAAAAAGATGGGATTAAGCCACTAGCCTATAGTGGTGATTCTCAAACTTCAGGACCTGTCAGAACCACCAGGAGGGCTTGTTTAAAAGGGGGATTACTGGACCCCACTCCCAGAGTACTTAATTCATGGACGGGAACCAAGAATCTGCATTTGTAACAAGTTCCTAC